TGGTTTTTATTTATGTTTTGTTTTTTTTTTTTGATACTCATAGGTTAAGTTATTGGTACCACTGGTGCCAAATAATGTTGCAGAACTAACAAAGAAAAAAATCTGAATGCATGTATTACAAATTTAATTGGTGAATTATTTATTTTTTCTAGTTGAGTTATAACTTCTAATGGTAAACATTTTTTCTTTGTTAGTTTGTGATAAGAGTTTATTTAATCTGATTCTCATGTACTGACTCAAAATATGTAACTAAAGTTCAGCAATATAAAAAAGAGTGATCGATAGTTCCTTATCATAATTGGTAATTTGTGATGCAATATTGTAACTTAAGGTTGTTTTTTTGCAATATTATAACACCTTAATATTAACCACCATCAATCACTGCCTCATTCACATAGATTAAGAAATTTAACTTATAATTCCATTATTTCATAGATTGTCCATTAACTTATTTATTTATTTTATTTTTTTTCAATTTTGGCTGAATATAATTTAATTTTTTTTAGGTGGTTTTGTGATTTAAGTTTAAGGTAATAATTGTAATCGAATTGAGAGTTTATTTTTTGTTTATTCAATTTTATTTAATTTTTTTGACTTCTGAAGTATTAAAAGTGTTTCTTGTTTCTTGAATTATAGTTTACGACGGCGGCTCTTGATGACCATCAATGACCACTACGGTCATTAATGTTGGTTGCGGAAGCGTGCGGTTTGGAGTACCTTGCCAGACATTAAATTGGGTTCGAGGAGACTGGAATCGTGCAGGCTGTACAATAGGCTGTCTAGTCTGGTTGAATGGGGATCTGAATTGCTGTTTTTGTTGCTGTGATGTTCTCTGAAATGGAGAAGGGGGCCACAACTGCTGTTGGATAGAATTTTGAGGTCTGAATTGTTGCGACTGGAATGGTTTCGAGAAAATCTGGCTTGGTTGCATCACCAAATGCTTCTAATTATGTTGGTTTGTTTTTGAGCCACTAGGTTATGGAATGGAGAAGCCTTTTTGGAGGTATCTGATGTTGTTTTCTTCCTGGATAAATTGCATTGCTGCAGCTAAATCGCTGGGCCGCATAGCTCTAATAGTGGATCCTAATGGTTCTCTTAGCCCTGCCATGAATCTGGAGAGCGTCTGTTGATGGAAAAAAAGTTTCTTACTTGTTTTGACATCTGGATTATTATGCTGAAGTTCTATATAATTCGAAATAGTATTTAGAAGTCCCATTACTTTCTCGTAGAATTGTTGAGGAGATTCGTTTGGCATCTGAAGTAAGTTGACTAATTTGAAAGGTGTTCACGTCCACACACTTGTAAAGAAACGAAATTGCAGCTTTTTTGGACTTTTTTTATTCACGTATTAATCAATTGCCAACGTTTCGACACGGATGCGTGTTATCCTCAGGGCTAAAATGTATAACAAACCAGTTAACATAACTACATTTGTAAAAAATTCATTACATTTACATAGAATTTATCATTTCGCAAATGTGAAACATAAACAGAAAAAACAGTACTAAAAACATGTAAATTATTATCAATTAATTGTGTTATAAAAGAATCAAAATAACAGATACACAGATAAAAAATAAATTATTGTTTTGTTATAGTATTTCTTTATCAGACCCAAATTGAGATGGTTTAGAATCAAAAATCAATACTGACAGACATTAACTCACCCAGATTAGTAATTGTGGTGCTTGTTTTTTGAAATTAAAAAACATAAAAAATACCTAATTCCAACGGACATATAAAAATTCAAACCAGCCGTGCAATGGTTACAAGCTACAAATTGATACTGATATTATATTAAACGAGATTCCCTGATATGGAATGTGTCAATGTCCTTGACCATTGGCTGCTGAAAAAGTACCTTTATTTGAGCAAATTAATTAATTTGGTGGTTACGAGAAAATCAAAAGCAAACAAAAGGATTATAAAATCGCTGCTGTAGATAGAAGAAATGAACTATTATTTTTATTTTTAATTTTTCGTGGGGAATATTGTTTCTATTTTAGGTGAAGTTGGTAATTATGTTATGTTAAAACACACTGAGGTCGTTAGTGTCTCGGTTGAGATTCACATTAGGCCTGTTTTTGTGAATATACGTCATTTCTAGGAAGAGTCTTTTTTTAAAATTTATTTCTCTATCTAAAATCTTAGTGCTATTAAAATCAAATATGTGACCCTCTTCGAAATGGTGTTTAGCTAGGCCCGTCTTGGGATGGTCATAATTTGTGATATCGCAGTCACGTCGATGCTCGGCCAATCGGGATTTGAGGAATTGTTTTGTCTGCCCTATATATTTCGAATTACATGATCCACATGGTATCTGGTAAATAATATTACTATTTTCCATGGTCTGCGTTCTACTTTTTACAGAAGAAAATAGATTGCCAACCTTTTTGGTATTGTAAAATGCCATCTTGTTGTTTGTGGTTTGTAATTTTTTGCTTAATAGGTTTTTTATGTATGGAATTTTGAAATATTCTTTGTTGTTGTTGGATTCAATGGCATTAGATGGCTGTGGAAATGTTGTTGGAGGGACCTGGTTTAGGATGCGATTTATGAGATGTGTAGGATATCCATTATGCCGTAAAGTAAGTCGTAAATTATGTAAGTTCTTTTCCCAGAACTCAGGATTAGAAAGCCTGTAGATTTTGTTTTTGGACTCTGTCATGAGGTTAATCTTCTGGTGTAATGGATGATTGGTCGAGAAATGGAGAATGCGACCAGAACTCGTTGGTTTCTTGTAGAGGTCAAGTTCCTGGTTACAAAATATCAAGGTTTGCACATAATATTTTAAATAATTTAACATCGTTGTTTATTTTTAATGTTAAAAATTCTTTTGAGGTGTCGACAAGATTGAGGGACATTACCTTGCCGGAAGATTATATATTGGTGTCTTTTGATGTCAAATCACTATTTAGTAATATACCACAACATTTAATACTCGAAGTTGTTGATTTGCATTGGCACACTATTGCAGAATATACAGACATAAACAAAGAGCTATTTTTGGCCAACCTGGTAATGGATCATGGTGTTAAAAAAACAATAGAATCATTGGATTTTGAAATTCCATTCTTTTTACTATATGTGGATGATTCCCTGACAGCGGTGCCTAAAAATAAGATTAATGACACTCTTAACATGCTGAATAGTATCAACCCCAACCTTGAATTCACAGTAGAAGTTGAAGAAAATAATAAACTGGCATTTTTGGATTTGCTGATATTTAACTCGCAGGGATCTTTGAAACTTGACCTCTACAAGAAACCAACGAGTTCTGGTCGCATTCTCCATTTCTCGACCAATCATCCATTACACCAGAAGATCAACCTCATGACAGAGTCCAAAAACAAAATCTACAGGCTTTCTAATCCTGAGTTCTGGGAAAAGAACTTACATAATTTACGACTTTTCGGAATAATGGATATCCTACACATCTCATAAATCGCATCTTAAACCAGGTCCCTCCAATAACATTTCCACAGCCATCTAATGCCATTGAATCCAACAACAACAAAGAATATTTCAAAATTCCATACATAAAAAACCTATTAAGCAAAAAATTACAAACCACAAACAACAAGATGGCATTTTACAATACCAAAAAGGTTGGCAATCTATTTTCTTCAGTAAAAAGTAAAACGCAGACTATGGAAAATAGTAATATTATTTACCAGATACCATGTGGATCATGTAATTCGAAATATATAGGGCAGACACAACAATTCCTCAAATCCCGATTAGCCGAACATCAACGTGACTGCAGTATCACAAATTATGACCATCCCAAAACGGGCCTAGCTAAACACCATTTCGAAGAGGGTCACATATTTGATTTTAATAGCACTAAGATTTTAGATAGAGAAATAAATTTTAAAAAAAGACTCTTCCTAGAAATGACGTATATTCACAAAAACAGGCCTAATGTGAATCTCAACCGAGGCACTAACGACCTCAGTGTGTTTTATCATAACATAATTACTAACTTCACCTAAAATAGAAACAATATTCCCCACGAAAAATTAAAAATAAAAATAATAGTTCATTTCTTCTATCTACAGCAGCGATTTTATAATCCTTTTGTTTGCTTTTGATTTTCTCGTAACCACCAAATTAATTAATTTGCTCAAATAAAGGTACTTTTTCAGCAGCCAATGGTCAAGGACATTGACACATTCCATATCAGGGAATCTCGTTTCATATAATATCAGTATCAATTTGTAGCTTGTAACCATTGCACGGCTGGTTTGAATTTTTATATGTCCGTTGGAATTATGTATTTTTTATGCTTTTTAATTTTAAAAAACAAGCACCACAATTACTAATCTGGGTGAGTAAATGTCTGTCAGTATTGATTTTTGATTCTAAACCATCTCAATTTGGGCCTGATAAAGAAATACTATAACAAAACAATAATTTATTTTTTATCTGTGTATCTGTTATTTTGATTCTTTTATAACACAATTAATTGATAATAATTTATATGTTTTTAGTACTGTTTTTTCTGTTTATGTTGCACATTTGCGAAATGATAAATTCTATGTAAATGTAATGAATTTGTTACAAATGTAGCTATGTTAACTGGTTTGTTATACATTTTAGCCCTGAGGATGACACGCATCCGTGTCGAAACGTTGGCAATTGATTAATACGTGAATAAAAAAAGTCCAAAAAAGCTGCAATTTCGTTTCTTTGTAAGTTAACTAGGTCTCTTGTAAGGGAACTCTCGTTGCATTGGTCGGCGAAATTTTGTATCGGGCTTCTTCAATAATTGCTTCCTAATCAAGGCATCCATGGATTGACACTCGACAGTTTCTTTTGCTCGACCAGTAGGTTTGTAATTTGTGTGTTGTGATGTGTATACAGGAAATACATGGCATGCATGGCTATTTCCAATATTTCCTCAGTTTTGAAAGGCTGGTAACATACAAAGAGCATATAACAATCAATTTTAATTCTTCATATATGTTTTGACTTGAGGAATCATATCCATGTTACAGGTTCTAGAGTTCGAGCACATCAATGGCGGATGTAGCATGCCAGAAATAATTGAGATGAAGAGCCCCGACCATAATCAACCTACTAATACCATACGAGACGCTGACATGGATGCAACAACGAGGTTACTCAAAAATTGCTAACAATTTATTTCAAAACTGCTTTGAAATTTATAATTTATAGTGAAATGCCAGATAACAGTGCCGCCCCAAGTGCCACTCCTAATGATAGTGGAGAAACTACAGAAAACGTACAAAAACCTGAAGTCGATGAAAAAAATCAAGAAATGGAAGTTGAAGAAAGAGGAGCAAAACATGTATCTTCCGCAGAAGAAAATGAATCTAAAGAAATAGAAGAAATGAAGGATGAGAATACAACAGAAGCAACTAAACCAAAGGAGGTTCAAAAGGAGACACAAGCTCAGGTTAGTTCTTATTTGTTAATATTGTTAATTGGGTCAAATCAAAGTTACCCCGAACAAATTAGATAATTCAGATTCAGAATATTATTTAAGTGTAATTTCAGTAGATAGGTAGTAGAGTCATATTATCTCTAATGATATCTCCTCATGCGTAATCAAAAACTTCATCACTAATTATTCATCTCCACGCCCGCAATTGTAATAAGCTGTTTTCATGGTGGGTTTTGTCAAAATATTTTTGTACTACCTACTACTAGCTTGTTTACAATATTATGCAGTCAAAATAAAAATTTTAATGTATAAATATGGTTATATTATTCAACTTTAGAAAGAAAATACCAAAATAGAATCCGCACCTCCCGAGAAAAGAAAATTCATGTTCAATATTGCCGACGGAGGTTTTACAGAGCTGCACTCTCTATGGCTCAATGAAGAAAAAGCGGCGACACTTGGAACACAACATGAAATTTGGCATCGTCGTCATGATTATTGGCTGTTGGCCGCTATTGTTGTTCATGGTTACGGAAAGTAAGAATAGGATTTAGAAAAGTGTATCAATTTAATGCGTATAATTGTGCTAATTTCAGGTGGCAGAGTATCCTAGAGGATTCAAGATTCGGAATTATTCATGAACCTTTCAAAATAGACGCTTCAAGGAGCAACTTTTTGGAAATCAAAAATAGGTTCCTGGTGAGGAGATTTAAGGTATGTATACCTAGAATAAGTTGGTGAGTCTAAAAAATAAATCGAAAACGCTTAGGAGGGAACAACTGCTAATTTGAAAAAACAAAAAGAACAAATTTACCTATTTATATTGAAACCGTGAAAAATTTGTCTTCTCTATTACCCAACGCTCAAAATCGATTTATACAGGGTGTTCCGAAATTAATGCACCAAATTTGTATGGCATATTCTACATCGAAAATAAGCTCTAGTTACCTATACATATAAGCATATGTCTGGAAACGCTTCCTTTCCGAGATACAGGGTGTTGAAATTCTAAGAAAAAAACTATTTTTTCATCATAATTCATACCACTTTGAAATTTTGTACACTGCTTTCAAGCAGCAAATACATTTTCTGATGTGAACTATTTAAAAAAAAAATACCAGTGACGTCACAAAACTAATTTGAAACTTTAGATGTTAAATATTACCATTTTTATCATAATTTTGGCGATTTCGCTATGAATCAAAATGGTTTTTTTATTTTTCTATTTTAAAACGGTGCATCTTTCCGAAAAAAGTGAAGCGATCAAATTTGTTCAAAATTGAATGGGGATTTCAAAAATAATTTTTATTCTAGAAAAAAGCAGTATCGCACCATTTTTTTCTTGAAAAATATTTCTTACAAATCTGGTAGGACGCCACTGATAATTTAAAAAAGAAATATTTTCACATCAAAAAAATGTCTTTTGCTGCTTGAAAGCAGTGTACAAATTGTCAATGAAATATCTAGAGTGGTTTGAAACTTATGATAAAAACATAGTTTTTTTCTTAGAATTTCAACACCCGGTATCTCGGAAAGCAAGCGTTTCCGGTCATATGTTTATATATGTAACTGGGATTATTTTCGACGTGGAATATACCATAACAATTTGGTGCATTAATTTCGGAACACCTTGTACATACAGGGTGTCCCACGGTGGATGGCGTATTAGACGTTTATGGAGAACTAAAAAGCGGATCATTTTGAAAATTTGGCAACCGGGATAAACGACCATGATCTACACTTTAAAAATATTTTTGACCATGCGGTGTTGCCGCTTCTACTCTAAACTAGTGGCAACATCACTATTTTAAATGGAACACCCCGTATTAAATTGCATATTTGGATTCTACGTAAAATTCTAAGCAGATTTCATGTGATATACCCTATACCTAAGTTCAACTGTTTTGGAAATATTGACAGTTGAAAATTGACTTTTTGAAACTTTGACAGGCTGTAGAACCTGAACGGTTAATTTTAGACGAAAACCGATTTTACATTCCTATCTTAGATTTTTATAAACTATCATTTGACACCAACTTTGAATTAAATCCATGATTAAAAATTTAAGTTAAATTTAATCTCTGGTTAAGTTCAAAGTTGGTGTTAAATGATAGTTTATCAAAATCTAAGATAGGAATGTGAAATCGGTTTTCCTCTAAAATTAACCAATTAGGTTTTGCAGCCTGTCAAAGTTGCAAAAAGTCAATTTTCAACTGTCAATATTTCCAAAACAGTTGAACTTAGGTAAAGGGTATATCACATGAAATCTGCTTAGAATTTTACGTAGAATCCAAATATGCAATTTAATACGGGGTGTTCCATTTAAAATAGTGATGTTGCCACTAGTTTAGAGTAGAAGCGGCAACACCGCATGGTCAAAAATATTTTTAAAGTGTAGATCATGGTCGTTTATCCCGGTTGCCAAATTTTCAAAATGATTCGCTTTTTAGTTCTCCATAAACGTCTAATACGCCATCCACCGTGGGACACCCTGTATAGTCTGCAAAAAATTGGAGCAACTTCAAAATCCACTTTTGTTAAGGTGGGGACATGTTTGATTCTTTCTATCTTCACAAAAATCTACCACCGCTAAAATGCCGAATTCAGTCCTGTGAATATTATTTATCGGTTTTTTATTAATTATTGTTTTTTTTTCAGTAATAAATAATGACGTTATGACATTGGTCACTTAAAAAAAAAAACAAAAGTACTCAAAAAATAATGATAAGTACTAAAAAAATGTTATGACCAAACAACTTTCTTGTAACGTCATCATTTGAAAACCACTTAACCAGATGTTTTCAGAATCAGGGATTAAATTAATAATAAACAGATCTTTAAAACGATATATTGTTCGACACCGCCTTTTATCAAAAAAAATGTTTCAAAACTGCGCTCAGTTGTTTTTCAGAAAATGGAGAATTTGTCCATATATCATCATTCCAAATTTCGTTGCAATATACCGAGCGGTTCAAAAGTTAGAGGGAGGCGACGGACTTTATGTCCTCACTGTATAAATCATATTGTAATTCTTCTAATACCGAACCTTGGGGAAGTCCAACGGCTCAAACCTACCTCTTCATTATATCTGTAGTTCATTACTGTAGGAATAGTAGGAGCGGCTCGTGTGATATTGGATTGATTCGAGTAGCAGAGCCGGAAGTTCCGTGCGTTAGGATTTAAAATGGCGCCATTTTGTAAAATTGAGGCGAATTTCAGGCAATATATTCTGTTAGAGTGATAGTTATGTTTAGGTTGTTGCTTCCGGCCAGTTATTCTATAACTTGCGACCGCAGAGAATTGCGAAATTGTCGCTGTCAAACTCGAGTTTTCTATTCTAAAAAAGCAACTTGCGGCGCGGTTGCTGGTTGCTATGTAGTTGCTGTTCGTAGAGAATAGGCCTGGGGCCGTATTCTTGATTTCTGGGAGGAGAACTTGCTCGGGAAGTGGACGTGGTTCACCTCAAAAAGGTACATATCATATTCTTGAAAATGGGACTGTGAAGTGAAAGTTCCCGGGAATTCTGAAGTTCCCATCCACTCACCCAAGAGAGTCAGGCTTAACAACAAAAAGTCTGTTCTGAAAAACTTAGTTCAGACAGTTTTTGTCAACGTCAAACCTGAAGAAAAGTAAATGCAACATGTTTTTATGTTATGATTGGTTTAAATTTGACACTGACTTGACTCTTTTTGTCATTGTTGAGGTGATAAAAAAGGTCGATTTACACAATATAATACTGTCACAACTGCCCGCTTTACGGGGGTGACATGGGGGGTTTGTAGCTTTGGGAGTTGATGGAGAGAAACTCGCTCAGGTTATATAGAAATATAGATATATATTTTCCCAAATATACCCTTACATGTACGCTACTCCTATAAGATACATGACCCTTCGAACACTGGGGTCCTTATAGGGAGGCACACGTCAACGCTGCTTGGGAGACTGTAGATTAGTTTATCGTTACCCTTATGCCTTGTCTAGAGAGGCGTTCCCAACGAGAGGTAATTGCACTGGACAACGATAAGGCTGAAGATACCCAGAGGGGCGTTCCCAACGAGAGATACTTGCACTGGGGAGACTTAATTCCAGAGGGGCTTTTCCAACGAGAGGTACTTGCACTGGTTTAAGTCTGCCTTTGCTGCGGCTTGCAACGCAATTTATATCAATTTATTGCTGAATTGCAATAAACATCCGATCGAATCGGTAATTAAATTAATAAGGTTAAATACCGGGTCCTCCTTTCCTAAGCAGCTAGTTGACAATACAATAGGAAAATGCGTACCAGTTTTATGTTTGGCCAAGTGTACAGGGTGTCCGAATTTGGATGGTTTTAATAGGAAACGTCAATTTCTGAGCGTGATACCAAAAAATGAACCCCCCACTCCGAGGCTCAAATTTCTTGAGATTTTGATTGGTGCAAACCGCATTTTGATATCTTCAACCGTTTAGCCGCTAGAGGGCGCTTCTCGATTTTGAGCAATACTGTGAAATCTTCATAACTTTTTTGTTTATGAAAATAACTGATTTCCGTAAAAACTTCCTAGAAGCACTTTTTCAAGCAAAATTCAGTGACGTTTTCAGTTTTTTTCTATTCGGCCTCGATTTCAAGATATTGACCAAAATACGATTTTTTTCAATGGGACACCCTATATATTAATACTTCATTAGAAAGCTCTGCTTTTGCTGATTTCAATGATACAAACTTCGATAGGTTTATCTCTAACAGTTTTCGAGAAAATAGTTATTTTCCTAACAAGTGCGCAAAGTGATACTTTCCCGCACGAAAAAGCAGTTAGACGAACGACGCGAAGCGGAGTTCGGATAAGTTTTAAGTGCGGGAAAGACACTTTGCGCAAGTGTTAGGAACAATATTTTTTCTACGAGTATCTTAAAAAAGTAGACTTTGAATTTTTAAAATATTAGAAAAATCAGTCAAATCAAAATCTGCAAAAATCGTTTAAAATCTATTGGAATTCCTCAGAATGTCTTTTAAATTGAATCCCCAAAAATCTTTTAACATCCTCTGGAATTTCTAGAATACCAGCTAGAATATTTCCATGAGAGTCTCTTAAATATCAAAAATTCTACAAATTCCTAGCAGTACAGGCTGGTCCAATTTGGACACCTTTGATAGGAAACATCATGTTAACTAAGTGCTAATTTCAACTAAAACCCTTCATTTTGAGTATTAGTTTATTCAGAAACCATCAAAACATTGGAAAATTAAGTATAACTATGGTAATTATGCGTAACAAAAATTAGTGCGCAAAGAGTTTCCGTGCGCAAAGTTTAACTTTGCGCACGCAAATGAGTGCGCAAAGTGATTACTTTGCGCACGCAAGTAGAAAAAAAATATTTCGGCTTTTATCATAAGAAACAATGAGTTAGAAAGAGACCTTTCTCAGTTTCCTTACAGATATAAAGTCCTTTTCTTACACATTGCTTCTTATGACAAAAACCGAAATAATTTTTTTTCTCGAAAACTATTAGAGATAAACCTATCGAACTTTTATCATTGAAATCAGAAAAAGCCGAGCTTTCTAATGAGCTATTAATATATAGAGTGTCCTATTGAAAAAACCCAGACTTTGGTCAATATCTCGGAGTTGGGACCAACTAGAAAAAAACTGAGAACGTCACTGAATTCTGCTTTAAAAAGTGCTTCTAGAAAGTTTTTACGGAAATCAATAATTTTCATAAGCAAAAAAGTTAAGATGGTTTCACATTATTGCTCAAAATCG